TAAATAGTCAACTGTAGCATTTTTTTATTTCTTTGTCCATTTCAGTTTTACTACTTACTTATCTGTTTGGCACAAATATCAAAAATTTAAAAATATTCCTTGCAATGTTTTCCTTGTGCATTATGCTACTGTTGAATTAAAATATTTGTCATTTTTGAAGTTATTTGAATTATAAACTATTTTCAGTACTTAGAAAAGTTGTTAACTTGTTTGTTTTAGAAAAGAAATATCTGGATCTTTGAGAGCCTAAAATAAAAATGGCAATTTTCACTGTATGCATTTAATGAATTTATTTGAAGCCAACTAGTCAATTTACTAGTTCAAAAGCAAATTATAAAAAGAAAATAAATTTGATGATCTAGCCAAGACTAGGACACAGAACTGTTAAAAAGATAGAAGGGAGAAGAGAGAGGGAGAGAAAATTTGATGTAATAAAGGAAGTGAGAACAGAAAACATTTTAAAAGAGATCTGCACTCAAGAAAAAAAAAAGGGCGTTAGATCATAGGTGGATGGAAATGTGGCTAAGTGGTGTTTGAAGTCAGGAATGAGGACATCAAGCTTTTAGACTCTGACTGCTTGAAAGTAGAAAAGAAGACACAGCAAGAATGAATCAGTGAAAGATACTTTATAAAGTATTGAATTGGTGTGTGTGTGTGTGTGTGTGTGTGTGTGTGTGCGTGGTTGTGTGTGTGTGTGTGTTCACAATTGCAAGGTTGTTTAGAATAGGATTAGAGCCCAATCCCTCATATGGAAAGAGAGACAGTTAAGGGGGTTTGGATACAAATTGGAAGGTAGGTTAAGTGTGGAGAAAAGTGAACTTGTCCACAGATTATCACTTAAAGTAATAGGAGAGGGCCAGGAGATAGCCAAGTGGCATAAGTACCTGCCTGGGATCTAACAAGATCCTGAGTTAGATTCTACTACCAAAAAAATGAGGAAATGTTATATATCTCTTACCTTGGAGGGTGGCAATAACATATGTAAAAGTTACATGAATCTCAATACTGCTGACAGGAGACTGAGGTTCATCTAACTTTAAAATGAAGCAGTGGGCATAATGACAGGTGTTCTTCTTCCCTGTTTCATTACAGCCCCAAAGACAGAGTTTGATTCAACCATGG